GGCGGGGGCGATTGCTTCGCGGTGTCCGTCGCCTCGCCTCTGCGTTATTAACCTCAATTGTGGTGGTGTGGGATTTATTTTTTCGGTAGTATAGTCGGTTTGGAAGCTGTGTAGTAGTGCTTTTAATTTTTTTTAGGCGTTCATTTTTTATATATATATATATTTTCAATCTTTACCTGCAGTACCTTCGATGCTACAGATTGGTCGTGGGTCGTCGGTGTGCTGCATTATATTAAGCATTATTGTCGTTGTGAAGTATTTTGAAACAAGAATTACCACAGGCTAGCCACGATGGAAGTTTCCTATTTTAAAGCCATAAGGCATATTGATAACATTTGGTCTTAGTTTTCTTTGGCCAAGGGGCACATAATGCTTCCCCCCTCCCCCTTCTTAAGTACGGCATCATCACTGGTCTGAAAAGCTAAGTTATATTTAAAATTCATATGAATTGGACATGTTTCTTTTTCTTAATCTACTAAGAAAATATCCTGGATTATATACATACACACACATTTTCAACAGGAGGCCTAAAATACTTGCTCAGGTTGTTAAGGTGTGTTGCGGATGTTACGGACTGTGGAGGCTGACTTTAGGAGTTCAAAATGCAAATCAGGCCACAAGATTAAGTTTTATTATTCTCTCCAGTGAAATACATGTTTTATGGTAATATGGAACTCTTGCATAATTCCAGTGTGTTGCTGTGTTCTGTGCGAGACAAGGTCATAGAAAATTGGATTGTTAGGATGTAAAAGATGGGATGTTAGAATGATTTTTTTAATTAAAAACATAAATATATTGTAATGATATCTTTAGCAAAATACAGCCTATTTAGGAAGCGCTTTTAAATATGTTTGTCCTGGCTGATTCTCGGATGTATTATTTTCAAACAAACTCATACGTAGTGTTTTATTGTGAAGAATCAAAACTTTTGATAAATTTTCTTTTATAAACTCGAGGTAATGGTAAACTAGCTAGATAGACTTTCAGAGATAATCTTCCATGTATTAAATATTTAACTATGTTATCAAAAATCATGAAGTACAAATTAACCATGAGTATGCATTCCTGAAGACTGATTCCGATAAGGCCGAATTGACTGCAGGTTATCCTTCGGGAAGTTTGGCTTAGGGGTGCTGATTGTAACTTCCTTGATGCCATAAAGTAACTACGTGACATCATCCTGCTGTGACAACGCTTCTCCTACGCGGTAGCTTGACTTTTACGTGTTGCTGACAAATGAAAACTACTATCTGCCTTTAAGAAATGAAATATAATGAGATACTAACAGGATGGACCTTTCTCTTTAGGAAAAAAATAATTGACCTGTTCCCTAGGTAGGAGCTAAGTAGCGTTGGATAATACTGGGCAAGAAAAGTCCTATCTGCGAGTTACCTGGTGGTCCTGTCCTAACAGGAGAAGAGATATCTGAGACCTGGCTGTCGGGTAGCCTGGATGGTAATGTTGATGTTGTTTTTCACGTCCATTATTCCTACAGTCATTTTTAATGAATAGTTGACAAACATCTGATGTCCAGTGCAAGCAGTGCTGTATAATGCAAGGAGCATGAATGGATTCGGCTTGTACTGACCGCATCATTATTTACATAACTGGTTAATCATGCTAATTTTGTTCCAGCTGTCAGCCATTTGATTGCTTTAAAACTTGGAGCTTTTAAGAAGCCTCAAATCTTGGATCAGTGCTGTGAAATGCCAAAGGCCTAATTTGTTACTTCATAAAAATGCCGATGGTCTTTCTTGATACAGAAATTGGTGGGGTTTTTTTGGTGGTTTGGGTTTTTTTGTGTTTTGTTTTAGAGAGAAATCATTAAATTGTAATCTGTTTTAGGAGAAGTTTATTACAGTGTAATGATGATATTCATGATCTTGCTTTTCTTAGGTCTCGTACATAGGATGGGGAAATGGATATTGGTTTTGCCTGGTCTAGAAGAATATAAGTTATTCTAAAATCTTTATTTAATGACTGGTACTCAGGAAGCAACTTTCCAGTCTTCCAGTGCCATATTTGCAGAGCGCTAAATTGCCTCTTGGGATCTTGCTAATAGAAAATGAAAGGTGCCTGGTTTGTATGAACGTCTGTAATGTTCTTTTTCCACTTTGCCTTGCTCTGATCTGTGCAGGGAAAGTAGCGAAACGTACTGGTATCCTGCTGTCTTAAGTGCTTCAAAGAACAGCGGGTTTTTTTGTGTATTTCAGTAGCCTGGCTGCTCATTAAGAAGGCATGAGACACCGTGGAGGAGAACAACATGTATGCTGTCCTCTAGAATAAAACCTGCTAGGTCTAATTGTAGCTCCGCTAGCATTGATATACTTCAATTTGGTTACATACTGGTATCTGCTGAATAGTAGACCATGAAAAGTCCCAGAATTAATCAGTTTAGGTGGCTGTTACAGGATTGCTTTCCTGTTCGGGGCGGGGGAGAATTTGGAATGCTTGTATGTCAGAATAAGTGAATTCAGAGACTCTAAGCTTCAGGATGAATCTAGAACTAGGTGGTTGTCGCAGCTGAGCCTCTCGGTGAGTGGTGCAGGAGGTAGAAAGCTACAGAAAAGCTGGTCTTGCTTATTTATCATTCTGCAAGTAACAGTTTTTTCTTTGGTTTTCAAATTTGGGATTTGGTTGATTTTTATGACCAAGCTCCAAACTATTGAAAAAAGGCAGATTGTTTGTTGGATCAAACAGTTCTAAGGTGTGTTTTGTAGGTAACTAGAGGTTGTAGGCAGTTTTTAAGGAGAGAGCAGCTTAAATTACTGAGATTGAGTTCCTTCAAACTGTAGTATATATGTTCAGAGTTACCGCAAGAAGTTAAATGCGTGTAAATATTTAAAAGTGGAGTTTGTATGAATGATTATACTAATTAGAAACTTAGTGTAAAAGTTTTTTGTGTTTTCTGGTTGCAATGTCACTGGCAACTGGAGATGTTTTCCAGAATCTGGTCTGTAATTCACTGTTGTGCATTTTTATATGGAAATATTATTTTGAATCACTATCAAGCTTAGTGAAATGCTTTTCTTCTGTAGAGGCAATTTTTACCTCAAATTTTCTGGTATTGTTACAAAAATTGAACTTAAAAATTGATGCCCTGTACTGCGTTAATTGTTAATAGTGTGTATATCTGTTTTCATGTCACCCAGGGCTGTTAGCATAAATGACTCTAACTGGTGCCTTGAGCTTGCGTTCAAGGTCAGGCTTGGTCTGTTCACAGTGCCTATGCCTTGGCTTGCATGCCGACTTGAAAAAGCCGGCTCTTTCCAGGTGGGGAAACATGAGTGCAGAGCAGAGGAGAGCTCAGGCACGAACAGGTCCCTGCTGGCAGCGCGAGCGCAGCTGGCTCTAGCAGCGTGACCGGGTAAAACCAGTCCCAGCCCAGAACTGGACACATCTCTGTGTTGGAGGCTCCCCTTATCTGAGTTTTATGGCGGAGGTGGCTGGGTAAAGTTCTAAAGAATCTCAAACTCGGGATGTTTCGTTGTCCTGATGCATACAATTTATTTTCAAGTAATACTTCTTCCACGGTTAGGAGTATAGCTCCCTGAGCTGCCTAAAGTAGTAATTAGTTGAAATTTTTGCATGAGACCTCTGCAGTTTTCTTCCACATTGTTGACTGCTCCTGTCTTTCCTCCAAGTGCTGTTTTATTAATGTTGTCTACAGTTGCTGAGTCTTCTGTCATGTAACTGTATAATAAATACTAAATGTACAAGGCATGAGAAGTAGAATAGTTTTGGAGAGTGACCCAGACAGGAGAGCACTTGAATGCAGTCTGCTTCTGTAGGCATGGTACAAACCTGTCTTTCTGTCTTTTAGACTACTTCTATCTCCTCCTACTTTCTTGCCCTCATAATTACCTTGTACTTTGCACGTGTATACATCTGTTTTAGTGCTTATTTGAATAGCAGTCCTGGTTCCTCTCTCCGGTCGGGTCACATACATGTTTCCTATGGCTCGGATTTGATCACCTTTAGACTCCATGTTTTGGTGGTGGTTCTTTTTCAATGGAAATTTCTGTTCTTATCCCTTACAGTAAAACATTAATCTGTAAATCATTTGCTCTTTTATGCTTACAGTGCAGCACTTAATGAACAATACTTTTACAAATTAGGTAATAATCTTTTTTTTTTTTTAAAGTTCAGAGCTTAAAAACATGCCAGGCACCTTTCCTAGAGATGTTTTATGTCTGTCCTTCAAGATAGAAATCGGAAGACTCGCTTGCCTTGTTTGTTTTTCAGTGTAGCAGTAGTTACAGCCAATTTTTGGGCCTGTCATTCTAGAAGTGACTACTTAAAGATAGACAGTGGAGTCGGGGGGTCACGGCTAAAATGCTACATCTGTTTCTCTAGAGAAAATTAAATTAAAATTTAATCTCCCTGCAGAATAACCTTAGAGACTTTCCTGCAGTTCTGAAGATGTCACTTACATAATGTAGTGTCTTCTAAAATCAAACTACTAGTTTTCATTATTTAAAAAGCAGAAACCCAAGCAGAGCGAGCTCTGTACTTCTGTTTGTTGGGTCTGTTCTCTTTGGTTGAGTTTTGCCACCAAGAATTGGCTACGATACATGTTGTACCCGTGCTGGTTAAAAGCGTCAGCATGGGCGACAAAGGTGCTAATGGTGTCAGGGATGTTCTTTTACAGTTTTTTCTTTGCGTGCTTTGAAATCGTATTAATTTCTAGACTTAACATCAAACTGATAGTTTCTGAACCTTTACAAGGGCAATGGTCTTTTCATAGCTTTGCTAGAACAAAGACATTTTAAGAATCTTAATAGAGAATCGTATAATCTCATTACAACTGCTCCTGACTGTTTAAATCACTTCCTTGTACTTAAGTAACAATCTGTCACCAGCTATTTCTTGATTGTAGTTTTTGTCAGATGCAATTTATCCCCCTCCGTGTTTTTGTTATAATTTTTTTTTTTCTGATTGTGCAACCCTTAGGTTGGCAAGCAATTTCTTTCTCAAACAGTTCTTCTGACTTCATTGGGACTAATCGCATGAGTAATTGCTCACTGGTGTAAGGGTTGTACAGTTCACAAATAAGACCTTTGTTTGTAGGACCTCATGGACAAAACCCGCTAAAATAACTGATATATACAGTTCTAATACTCCTTAGGGAAAGGCAAAACAAAGTATTTGTAAAGGCGACTTCCTCCCCTGAGATGCAGGCACGAAAGACTCCCTCAAACACCTTTCCTTGTAGGTAGGAAATCTGTTCTCAAGTGGCTAGTTGTGTGCTGCTAGCTGGGTGAACAGGCCTCAAGCAGCATTTTAGTTTTGCCATTCTCCTGATTTTTATTTATTTTTTTCTTTTAGCAGTGAGGATTTCTTCAGCCAAATCTATTGACCCAATTGCTGCTGCGACTGCCTTTCTACTAACTTTCAGCTCTGTTTGAGCAGGGATGAGGCTTGTGACAACAGCAGTAAGGCATAGATGTTTGATCTAACCCTATGAAATCAGCCAAAATTTAAGTTCACAAACTAATCCTTATGCCTCTGTTCTAAATAGAACTATTTTAACACGCCTGCCTGTTCTCTGATGGATGGTGAAGCAGAATGTACTCTGTCATGCGGTATAGGTAAAGGAAAGCACTTGAATTATTATTTGAAAAACAGAAATTTAATGTTTTTAATTATTCAGTTAGCTAATTAATCAGTGAAATACTCTACCATTTTGTGACATTGCTGGAGTGTGAATATTAATGTCTGTTTAGAGAGAGATCTGAATCGTGCATTTCCAGCAAGATTCAGATCCAGGGAAGGTCTGGTGAATCTTTAAAATGCCCCTGCCCAGGTATTTCATAATTTGATAAAAACTTCTTTCTATAATGGTCATTTGAAAGCATAAGACTTGCATCTGTTCTGTTATCTAATGAAATATTTGCCTTCTGAGCCCATACTGGCTTATTGCATGGTTTTATGGTTGCTTCTTGTAATATTATGGTTCTTGCAGTGACTTTTCTTTTTTTAAAAAAATTTTTTAAGGGTGTTACTATTTTTTTTTTTTTGCTGCTGTTGTTGAGCAGAGTTCATTAAGTTAAACTTTGTCTACCAATTTAGGAGAGTGTTTCTCAAAGTAAAGATAATGCCTCTGTTGGAATGTTTTTAGATAAACAACAGAGGTGACAACAAGTACTTTTCTTAGAAATATGCAAATGCAGATCAGAAATCAATATTTAATATTGTAATTGTAGTTTTTGAGAATTTCTACAACTTATGTGTAATTTTAAAGCAGAAATTTCTACATGCTAATCAGAAGGACAGGAGGACTGTCACTGCACTGGACTATAATTATGCAGCCCATGTTTTTTTATACTTTTTCAGCAAATCAACTGCTTTCTGAAGATTTTAAAAGATTGGTGCCTGGGTGACTCCTCTGAAAGATATTTGTGTTTATGTGTTTACTGGTTCTCTTGGAAAGATTTAATAAGGAAGTAAAATAG